AAAATGCTATTATTTTTCAGATTCTAGAGATAATGCAACAAGTTTATGTGAGTCTTAAAAATTTAAGGGTGAGGTTTTTGTTTTCAATTTAGTCCACCTTATTCCGTTCGTTTGGTGTTAAATATAAGAACAATTCAGTAATTTCAATATTTACATCTTTTTACATCTAAACCTGCGAAGGTTGTTGTGGTGTAGTGGTTATCACGTCAGTTTTACACACTGAAGGTCTCCTATTCATTCCTGGGCAACAACATCGCTGTTTATTATTTATCAAAATACGAGTCAATTTGTGTCCCAAAAACATGAAAATGCTACTATTTTTCAGATTCTTGAGGTAATGCAACAAGTTTATGTGAGTCTCAAAAATAAGGGTGCGGTTTTTGTTTTAGTGCGTCGTATTCCGTTCGTTTGGTGTTAAATAGAGGAACAATTTAGTAATTTCAATATTTACATCTTTTTACATCTAAACCTGCGAAGGTTGTTGTGGTGTAGTGGTTATCACGTTAGTCTTACACAGTGAAGGTCCTCAGGGGTGCGGTTTTTGTTTTCAATTTAGTCCGCCTTATTTCGTTTGTTTGGTTTTAAATAGAGGAACAATTCAGTACTTTCAATATTTACATCTTTTTACATCTAAACCTGTGAATGTTGTTATGGTGTAGTGGTTATCACGTCAGTCTTACACACTGAAGGTCCCCAGTTTAATCCTGGGCAGCAACATCGCTCTCCAAACTATAGTCAATTTGTCTCCCAAAAACACGAAAATGATATTACTTTTTAGATTCTAGATGTAATGCAACAAGTATTTTTTAGATTCTAGAGATAATGCAACAAGTTTATGTGAGTCTCAAAAATAAGGGTGTCGTTTTTTATTTCAATTTAGTCCTCCGTATTCCGTTCGTTGGGTGTTAAATAGAGGAACAATTCAGTAATTTCAATATTTACATCTTTTTACATCTAAACCTGCGAAGGTTTTTGTGGTGTAGTGGTTATCACGTCAGTCTTACACACTGAAGGTCTCCAGTTCAATCCTGGGCAACAACATCGCTCTCCTAACTAATCTATTAGTTTCTCAAAAATAATAAAACAAGAAAAGTTTCCTATTTATCAGAACACGAGTCAATTTGTCTCCCAAAAACATGAAAATGCTATTATTTTTCAGATTCTAGAGATAATGCAACAAGTTTATGTGAGTCTTAAAAATTCAATGGTACAGTTTTTGTGAGTTTTTGTGTTCAATTTAGTTCGCCTTATTCCGTTCGTTTGGTGTTAAATATAAGAACAATTCAGTAATTTCAATATTTACATCTTTTTACATCTAAACCTGTGAAGGTTGTTGTGGTGTAGTGGTTATCACGTCAATCTTACACACTGAAGGTCTCCAGTTCAATCCTGGGCAACAACATTGCGCACCTAACTAATTAATCAGTTTCTCAAAAATAAGAAAACATGAAAAGCTGTTTACTATTTATCAAAATGCTACTATTTTTCAGATTCTAGAGGTAATGCAACAAGTTTATGTGTGTCTCAATAATAAGGGTGCGATTTTTGTTTTCAATATAATGCGCCGTATTCCGTTCGTTTGGTGTTAAATAGAGGAACAATTAAGTAATTTCAATATTTACATCTTTTTACATCTAAACCTGCGAAGGTTGTTGTGGTGTAGTGGTTATCACGTTAGTCTTACACAGTGAAGGTCCTCAGGGGTGCGGTTTTTGTTTTCAATTTAGTCCGCCTTATTTCGTTTGTTTGGTTTTAAATAGAGGAACAATTCAGTACTTTCAATATTTACATCTTTTTACATCTAAACCTGTGAAGGTTGTTGTGGTGTAGTGGTTATCACGTCAATCTTACACACTGAAGGTCTCCAGTTCAATCTTGGGCAACAACATTGCGCACCTAACTAATTAATCAGTTTCTCAAAAATAAGAAAAACATGAAAAGCTGTTTACTATTTATCAAAATGCTACTATTTTTCAGATTCTAGAGGTAATGCAACAAGTTTATGTGTGTCTCAATAATATGGGTGCGATTTTTGTTTTCAATATAATGCGCCGTATTCCGTTCGTTTGGTGTTAAATAGAGGAACAATTAAGTAATTTCAATATTTACATCTTTTTACATCTAAACCTGCGAAGGTTGTTGTGGTGTAGTGGTTATCACGTTAGTCTTACACAGTGAAGGTCCTCAGGGGTGCGGTTTTTGTTTTCAATTTAGTACGCCTTATTTCGTTTGTTTGATTTTAAATAGAGGAACAATTCAGTACTTTCCATATTTACATCTTTTTACATCTAAACCTGCGAATGTTTTTATGGTGTAGCGGTTATCACGTCAGTCTTACACACTGAAGGTCTCCAATTCAATCATGGGCAGCAACATTGCTCTCCAAACTAGAGTCAATTTGTCTCCCAAAAACAAGAAACTGCTATTACTTTTTAGATTCTAGAGGTAATGCAACAAGTATTTTTTAGATTCTAGAGATAATGCAACAAGTTTATGTGAGTCTCAAAAATAAGGGTGTGGTTTTTTATTTCAATTAAGTCCGCCGTATTCCATTCGTTGGGTGTTAAATAGAGGAACAATTCAGTAATTTCAATATTTAGATATTTTTACATCTAAACTTGCGAAGGTTGTTGTGGTGTAGTGGTTATCACGTTAGTCTTACACACGGAAGGTTTCTAGTTCAATCCTAGGCAACAACATCGCTCTCCTAACTAATTTAACTAATTTATTAGTTTCTCAAAAATAATAAAACAAGAAAAGTTTGCTATTTATCAGAACACGAGTCAATTTGAAAACAAGAAAAGTTTGCTATTTATCAGAACACGATTCAATTTGTCTCCCAAAAACATGAAAATGCTATTATTTTTCAGATTCTAGAGATAATGCAACAAGTTTATGTGAGTCTTAAAAATTTAAGGGTGCCGTTTTTGTTTTCAATTTAGTCCGCCTTATTCCGTTCGTTTGGTGTTAAATATAAGAACAATTCAGTAATTTCAATATTTACATCTTTTTACATCTAAACCTACGAAGGTTGTTGTGTTGTAGTGGTTATCACGTCAATCTTACACACTGAAGGTCTCCAGTTTGATCTTGGGCAGTTACATCGCTCTCCGAACTAATTAATTAGTTTCTCAAATATAAGGAAACATGAAAAGTTGTTTACTATTTATCAAAACACGAGTCAATTTGTGTCCCAAAAACATGAAAATGCTACTATTTTTCAGATTCTAGAGGTAATGCAACAAGTTTATGTGAGTCTCAAAAATAAGGGTGCGGTTTTTGTTTTAGTGAGTCGTATTCCGTTCGTTTGGTGTTAAATAGAGGAACAATTAAGTAATTTCAATATTTACATCTTTTTACATCTAAACCTGCGAAGGTTGTTGTGGTGTAGTGGTTATCACGTTAGTCTTACACAGTGAAGGTCCTCAGGGGTGCGGTTTTTGTTTTCAATTTAGTCCGCTTTATTTCGTTTGTTTGGTTTTAAATAGAGGAACAATTCAGTACTTTCAATATTTACATCTTTTTACATCTAAACCTGTGAATGTTGTTATGGTGTAGTGGTTATCACGTCAGTCTTACACACTGAAGGTCCCCAGTTTAATCCTGGGCAGCAACATCGCTCTCCAAACTATAGTCAATTTGTCTCCCAAAAACACGAAAATGATATTACTTTTTAGATTCTAGAGGTAATGCAACAAGTATTTTTTAGATTCTAGAGATAATGCAACAAGTTTATGTGAGTCTCAAAAATAAGGGTGTCGTTTTTTATTTCAATTTAGTCCTCCATATTCCGTTCGTTGGGTGTTAAATAAAGGAACAATTCAGTAATTTCAATATTTACATCTTTTTACATCTAAACCTGTGAAGGTTGTTGTGGTGTAGTGGTTATCACATCAGTCTTACACACTGAAGGTCTCTAGTTCAATCCTGGGCAACAACATCGCTCTCCTAACTAATTTATTAGTTTCACAAAAATAATAAAACAAGAAAAGTTTCCTATTTATCAGAACACGAGTCAATTTGTCTCCCAAAAACATGAAAATGCTATTATTTTTCAGATTCTAGAGATAATGCAACAAGTTTATGTGAGTCTTAAATATTCAAGGGTACAGTTTTTGTTTTCAATTTAGTTCGCCTTATTCCGTTCGTTTGGTGTTAAATATAAGAACAATTCAGTAATTTCAATATTTACATCTTTTTACATCTAAACCTGCGAAGGTTGTTGTGGTGTAGTGGTTATTACGTCAGTCTTACACACTGAAGGTTTCCAGTTCAATCCTGGGCAACAACATTGCTCACCTAACTAATTAATCAGTTTCTCAAAAATAAGAAAACATGAAAAGCTGTTTACTATTTATCAAAACACGAGTCAATTTGTGTCCCAAAAACAAGAAAATGCTACTATTTTTCAGATTCTAGAGGTAATGCAACAAGTTTATGTGTGTCTCAAAAATAAGGGTGCGGTTTTTGTTTTCAATATAATGCACCGTATTCCGTTTGTTTGGTGTTAAATAGAGGAACAATTTAGTAATTTTAATATTTACATCTTTTAACTTCTAAACCTGTGAAGGTTGTTGTGGTGTAGTGGTTTCTCACGTCAGCCTAACACACTGAAGGTTTTTAGTTCGATCCTGGGCAACAACATCGCTCTATTAATAACTATAACTTATTAATTAGTCTCTTAAAAATAACAAGTTTATGTGAGTCTTAAAAATTTAAGGGTGCGGTTTTTGTTTTCAATTTAGTCCGCCTTATTTCGTTTGTTTGGTTTTAAATGGAGGAACAATTCAGTAATTTCAATATTTACATCTTTTTACATCTAAACCTGCAAAGGTTGTTGTGGTGTAGTGGTTATCACGTCAGTCTTACACACTGAAGGTCCTTAGGGGTGCGGTTTTTGTTTTCAATTTAGTCCGCCTTATTTCGTTTGTTTGGTTTTAAATAGAGGAACAATTCAGTACTTTTAATGTTTACATCTTTTTACATCTAAACCCGTGAAGGTTGTTGTGGTGTAGTTGTTATCATGTTAGTCTTACACACAGAAGGTCCCCAGTTCGATCTTGGGCAGCAACAGCGCTCTCTAATTAATTAGTTTCTCAAAAATAAGAAAACATTAAAATGTGAATCTTAAAAATTTAAGGGTGCGGTTTTTTGTTTTCAATTTCGTCCGCTTTAACCCTTTCGTTTAGTGTTAAATAGAGGAACAATTCAGTAATTTCAATATTTACATCTTTTTACATCAAAACCTGCGAAGGTTGTTGTGGTGTAGTGGTTATCACGTCAGTCTTACACACTGAAGGTCCTCAGGGGTGCGGTTTTATTTTCATTTTAGTCCGCCTTATTTCGTATGTTTGGTTTTAAATAGAGGAACAATTCAGTACTTTCAATATTTACATCTTTTCACATCTAAACCTGCGAAGGTAGTTGTGGTGTAGTTGTTATCATGTTAGTCTTACACACTGAAGGTCCCCAGTTCGATCTTGGGTAGCAGCAGCGCTGTCTTAACTAATTAATTAGTTTCCCAAAAATAAGAAAACATTAAAAGGTGTTTACAATTTATCAGAACTCGAGTTAATTTGTCTCCCAAAAACATGAAAACGCTATTATTTTTCAGATTCTAGAGGTAATGCAACAAGGTTTTGTGAGTCTTAAAAATTTAAGGGTGCGGTTTTTGTTTTCAATTTCGTCCGCTTTAACCCTTTCGTTTAGTGTTAAATAGAGGAACAATTCAGTAATTTCAATAATTACATCTTTTTACATCTAAACCTGCGAAGGTTGTTGTGGTGTAGTTGTTATCATGTTAGTCTTACACACTGAAGGTCCCCAGTTCGATCTTGGGCAGCAATTGCTCTAGCCTAACTAATTAATTAGTTTCTCAAAAATAAGAAAACATTAAAAGTTGTTTACTATTTATCTGAACACAAGTCAATTTGTCTCCCAAAAACATGAATATGCTATTATTTTTCAGATTCTAGAGGTAATGCAACAAGTTTACCAAAAACATGAATATGCTATTATTTTTCAGATTCTAGAGGTAATGCAACAAGTTTATATGGGTCTAAAAAATTCAAGGGTACAGTTTTTGTTTTCAATTTAGTTCGCCAAATTCCGTTCATTTGGTGTTAAATGGAGGAACAATTCAATTATTTCAATATTTACATCTTTTTACATCTAAACCTACGAAGGTTGTTGTGGTGTAGTGGTTATCACGTAAGTCTTACACACTGAAGGTTGTTTTCAATTTAGTTCGCCGTATTCCGTTCGTTGGGTGTTAAATAGAGGAACAATTCAGTAATTTCAATATTTAAATCTTTTTACATCTAAACCTTTGAAGGTTGTTGTGGTGTAGTGGTTATCACATCAGTCTTACACACTGAAGGTCTCCAGTTCAATCCTGGGCAACAACATCGCTCTCCTAACTAATTAAAGTCAATTTGTCTCCTAGAAACATGAAAATGCTATTATTTTTCAGATTCTAGAGGTAATGCAACAAGTTTATGTGAGTCTCAAAAATAAGGGTGCGGTTTTTGTTTTCAATATAGTGCGTCGTATTCCGTTCGTTTGGTGTTAAATAGAGGAACAATTCAGTAATTTCAATATTTTCATCTTTTAACTTTTAAACCTGTGAAGGTTATTGTGGTGTAGTGGTTATCACGTCAGTCTTACACACTGAAGGTTTCCAGTTCAATCTTGGACATCAATATCGCTCTCTTAACTAATTAATTAGTTTCTCAAAAATAAGAAAACATGAAAAGTTTACTATTTAAATTTAAGGGTGCGGTTTTTGTTTTCATGTCAGTCTTACACACTGAAGGTCCCCAGTTCGATCCTTGGCAGAAACATTGCTCTCTTAATTAATTAGTCTGTCAAATATATATGAAAATGTTACTACTTCAATATTTGTAGCGGTTATCACGTTAGTTTACACACTAAAGGTCCCCTGTTCGATCCTGGGCAGCAACAGCGCTCTCCTCATCCTAAAAAATTTAAGGGTGCGGTTTTTTATTTCAATTTAGTTCGCCTTATTCCATCCGCTTGGTGTTAAATATAGGAACAATTCAGTAATTTCAATATTTACATCTTTTTACATCTAAACCTGCGAAGGTTGTTGTGGTGTAGTGGTTATCACATCAGTCTTACACACTAAAGGTCCCTAGTTTGATATTGGGCAGCAACAACGCTCTCCTCATGTTACTATATTCCAGATTCTAAAGGTAATGCAACATGTTTATGTGAGCTTAATAAATTTAAGGGTGCGGTTTTTGTTTTCAATTTATTCCGTCCGCTTGGTGTTAAATAGAGGAACTATTCAATAATTTCAATATTTACTTCTTTTTAAATCTAGACATGCGAAGGTTGCTGTGGTGTAGTGGTTATCATGTCAGTCTTACACACTGAAGGTCCCCAATTCGATCCTGGGCAACAATAGCCCTCTCCTAATCAGTCAATTAGTCCCTCAAAAATACGAAAATAGAGGAGTTAATACCAAAATGGTCGTAGTGACCTAATATAGTCTCAGACTTTTGTATTTTTGTTCAACTTAGCCGTCCGTTTGTCATTCCGTTCATTTAGTGTTAAATAGAGGAACAATTTAATAATTTCAATATTTACATCTTTTTACATCTAAACTTGCGAAGGTTACTGTGGTGTAGTGGTTATCACGTCAGTCTTACACACTGAAGGTCCCCAGTTTGATCCTGGGCATCAATAGTACCACTCAACTCAATTAATTGAATAATATATGTTTCGTTTGTGTGTAATTATCTTAAAAAGATCGATATGTAATTCTATTATTACTAAAGTAAATATTGGAAAAATCACTCAATCACTCAACTCAATTAATTGAATAATATATGTTTCGTTTGTGTGTAATTATCTTAAAAAGATCGATATGTAATTCTATTATTACTAAAATAAAAATTGGAAAAATGAGAAATAATTTAATTGTAATTATTATAAAAATAAATTCAACAACCAATGTTAATAGAGTCAATAGCATTCAAAAAAAATACTTTTATACCTTAAGTATATTCATTTTCACCATATCACATTTAGTTTTTCCTCATCCATCTGAATGATTTCATTGTAATTATTATAAAAATCCAACAACTCATGTTTAATTGTAATTATATTAATATCCGTGTAATTATTAGCTTAATTAACATAATAATTATTAATCAATTATACTAATATCTATGTAATTAATTTCTTAATTACCATAATAATTATTAGGTAAGTATACTAATAGTGTGCAATTATACTTTTATACCATGTTTAATTGTAATTATAATAATATTCATGTAATTATTAGCTTAATAATTAAGCATAATAGTTATTAGATTTTATATAGTAATAGTTTTATAATTTGTAATAATATTCATGTAATTTATAATTGCATTTTATACTGAAGAAAATAGGTGTGTATAATAAGGTGTTGGAAAACAAAATTTGCTCACCATTCAATCTTGGATTAACTGGATAAAATGCTGAAGAACTAACAGTGTATTGCAATACCGACTCATTTTCAAAAAACAAAAAGAAAGAAAGAAAAATATCAATGCCAAACACCTTGTGCTTAGATGACACCTTTGTGACTCCCCTTGAGGGGAGGTCACAGGATCAAACCGTGGTGGTGGGGTATTGACTCTTTAATTTAGGCTGCAATAGTTTGAGACAGTATAGAACAGATACTACATTGTAATAGAGTTGATAGTATTCAAAAAATAAATAAATATCAATGTTTAAATGATTCTCATAGAATGACTTACTTTAAAGACACAACTATGAATACATCTCGTAATATAAATTAAATTTTATATATTACTTTGGTTGTAAAGAAAAATATCAATGTTTAAATGATTATCATAGAATGACGTGTACTTTAAAGACACAATTATGAATGCATCTCGTAATATAAATTAAATTTTATATATTACTTTGGTTGCTAACACCTACAATATTTTTGGGAAACAATAAGAACAAATAAATACATAATAAACACATTAATTGAAATAAATCAATAATTTAAATTAAAGAGAAAATTACACTTTTGGTCCTACGACTATAGGGGGGGGGGGGGGTGATAATTTCAGTTCGTGACTTTTAAAACTAACAGATTTAGTCCTTTTAATATGCTTTTTTTTTTACACATTAAGTCCTTCCGGCTAATTTGTCAGTAGATTTTCGCCGGAAAAACAAATTCATTTGTTTATTAATTTTTTTTTTTTTTGGGGGGGGGGGGGGGGGGGGGGGGTAAAATGGTCACAAATGTCTTCCCCGCGAACTCCATCACTTTCCCTGCATGGTAAAAGAACTTGGCGCCCCTCTCGGATCTTGGATCCAGCAGGTCCTTCGAGAACATGAGGTTTCCGATGATGTTAAACGACATCAAGAAGAAGAACCGCCCTACGTCGATCGCCGCCGTGCCGGAGTTTCCGGCTTCTCCCATGTACCTCACCATGTGGTCTATGCATTTCGTGCTCACCCCTCGGAGGGCTTCGAGCCTGCTCGTGACGAAAAACTCCGTAGTGCATAGTCGCCGCAACATCCGCCAGTGCGGGCCGTATTGGGCCGTAATGAGCGACCCTTCGTTCCCAAAATCTCCCTTCATCGCCTCGTAAATCTTCCGGCCGGCGAGCACCACGTCGTGATTCTTGAACATCTCCCGGGCGGCTTCGTTGGAGGAAATCACCACCGTGCTCATTGAGCCTAACCACAGTGTCATTATAGGACCGTGTTTGGAAGCCAACTCGCTAAACGACACGTGCGGCGTCCATTTTAAGGAAGGAAATATAAGCCACCGTTTATCCCCTTTTTTCTCAGACATTTGTGACCATTTTAACCCCCCCCCCCAAAAAAAATTAATAAACAAATGAATTTGTTTTTCCGGCGAAAATCTACCGGCAAATTAGCCGGAAGGACTTAATGTGTAAAAAAAGCATATTAAAAGGACTAAATCTGTTAGTTTTAAAAGTCATGAACTGAAATTACCACCCCCCTATAGTCATAGGACCAAAAGTGTAATTTTCTCTAAATTACAGCAACAAATCAATCAAAATTTGTATATAATAAAATGTAAAGGCTATTATAAATAATTTCAATGTAAGTTATATTACCATTTGTAGGCATGTTAATAGATGTTTTTGGAGAGCAAATCATAAATCCACCGTATAATGCTTCACTACTGGCCACTGCAATTATTTACAGCAAGGGAGAAAATTTTAAAATGCTTCAGTAAAATAGTTAGGTAGGCTATTGATATAACAAATTAATTTTATTACCATTCACTATGGGATTAACTCGACTAAATGCTGGTGAACCAACAGTTGATTCTAACAACGGCTGAGCATTATCAAAAAACATATCCGATTGAAAAAATGATGCTTGTGTATTATTATGATTACCATACGACTTGTTTTCTAAAAAAAATAAATTGACAGAGTTAAAATGATGGTTAAGGAATGACTCGGGATGTACATAAATAACGAAGAATTGATTTAGTAAAAAAATTAAATTTTATATATTAATTGGATATTTATTACTTAAGTAATTTTATTTTACAATTTTTAATTAAATATTGTATTCAAAATGACATAACCCAGGCCAATACTTTCCAAAATTATCAAATGAAAAAAAAAAAAAAAAACTTAGCCCATTTTTATTCATTCGGTCCAATTCCACCTTTACGACCACCGATCCCCTCTATCAATCAATCTGAAAAATCAAATTCGCTCGTCTCTTGTTTTGCAAAGCATTTTCATTTCTATCTAGCCTCGGTAGGGGTATAATCGGTTAACCAAAACGTGTGAACTTAAGCTTTAAAGTTTTAACTGTTAACTGAATCAAAGCTTGTATTACCGTTCAATTAACGGATTAACCGAAGATTTTTAAACTAAAGTTTTAAATTTTTAAAATAATACATATAATAATAAATTTAATTAAAATAATACCTATAATAATAAGTCCATAACAAAATATGCAAACACAATACCATAACAACATTACAAATTACAAATTAAACATAAAAGCAGAAATTATAAAATCCAAACATCCACGCACACGCGCGCGCGCACACACACAGACTAATGGCACACGACTACACTTGTCCGCACAGTCCTCATTTGAATACATTATCTCTCTCTCTCTCTCTCTCTCTCTCTATATATATATATATATATATATATATATATATATATATATATATATATATATATATATATATATATATATATATATATATATATATATATATATATATATATATATATATATATATATATATATATATATATATATATATATATATATATATATATATCATTTAAATTTTGGTTAATCGTTTTGTTAATTGGGTTAACCGATAGTTTCGAACTGAATTAACTGTTAACCGAAATTTTACAAATCTTTTAACCATTAATTGAACCGAAATTTTTCAGTTACAGAACAGTTAACCGAAATGTTTTGGTTTGATCGGTTAACCAAACTTTCACTAAGGTTTGTACACCCCTAAATCTCATTGTCTAAATAGTAGTCATCCCCAAAACTACGTCGTATTTGTATTTACAGTAACATTTATATACAAATTTTATATATATATATATATATATATATATATATATATATCCAGAAAGCAATCTGTCATCAATCGTCATGTAACTCACTGTTAGTAGTTTTATTTGGTAAATTTTTACTTTTCTTATAATTGTATGTGGCACATACTTTTACTCCATAATTATTGCAACTAAAAGCTTAATTATATACTTGATGAGCCATTGAGTTACCGTAATTTACATCCTTTCAAATGCTCTGTCAAGTCATAAAGTATATTATTCTATCTAACTTATAAAATTCAACGACGTCATTTTAGATCGTAGTCATTCGATCAATTTGACCCAAACCATGGTTATTTCTATCTTATTTACCTACTGATGAAAAAAATATTTGATGCAGGGTAGGTATGCGAATATGTACTATACATCATGAAATCATAATGCACCATGTCATTAGAAAAGAATATCAATATTAGAAAAATATTCTGTTTCTTTTTTTGGCAAAATATAATTATTTACAAATTATTATAATTTCAATTATTTATCTTGCTTATTAAAATAAATAATATCTGTTCTAAATAATAATGTGTAACTCACAATATATATTCCCACTATATCTATAGTTTGATTCGTCAAGTTTAGAATTTAGTCATATTTATCCTTGCATTGGTTATCAAGTTTATATGAGTACTCCTACATAAACTCTTATTTTTACGTACTCCAAAATAACATACTTTTTGAATTGTCTTCACAATATAGAAAATAAACAAAATTAAAATGGATAAGAGTATAAGACCCATGATTTCGATTGACTGAAATTACGTACACTATCTCGGAGAGTATAGTTGAGAGTAAAATTTTTTGCTCCTTTCAGAATTTTCTGATATATATAGAGGGACAATTATTAGGAAACTAAATTAAAGGCAACGTGCATTATGAGGTCTAGCTTTATGGTGACAGTAATGCCCCATGATTCTGACGCCAAGCAAAGACCAGTCCACGGCTTGGTAGGCATTCATTTAACCAACTTTGCTTACGAATTTTATTATATGGATTTTCAAATTTTACTATCTCATTTTTATTTTATGATGTGATAAATAATAATAAAATATTTTTTATTATATAATATAAGTCACAAAAAAAGTGTCTGTATCAAAAATTTGTATGAGAAATTAAAAATTGAGAATAAGAAATAAGAGTCTGTGTAATATTTTCCCTTGAATTGCTTACTTCCATCTACTTTACTAAAGCAATACTTCAATCACTTGCACGGATTGTTCCAATCATCATCATTACAAGATACAGATCATATCACAGTAACTAACTTCTATCCATCTATCTTTTTATTCAAAAAAATTAAACCCTTAGAATAGGCCAATTGACTATAGTCAATTGGCCAAGAATCGGACCAACAAAAGTATCAATCAAGTTTCAAAGGCCAACAAGCTTATATATATATATATATATATATATATATATATATATATATATATATATATATATATATATATATATATATATTTGACCGATTCAAACAAAGGAAGCAAGGATTTGAACTCGTGACGTGTAGTTACAAACGTAAATTAAGTCTCTTGTCATCTTAGCTGGCTTACCCCTATTTTATTATATATGGCCCTGTTTGGTAAAATAGTTTGTTTATCAGTCAATTTTAGTTTATTTGATCATTATTAGTGTTTGATTTGGTTAAAAAATCAATATAAGTGTTTTGTTAATAAGTTTTTTTAACTCGAAAATGCTAAAATTAAAAAAGAGGCTCAAACAACTTTTTCAATTAACTTTTTTTATACCAAACAGATATCTGCTAACAACAACTAATTTACCAAACACGTTTATACAATCAGCTATTGTTATCAACTAGTCATACCCTCTAACCCTATCGGCTAAAAGCTTTCAGCTAACACCCATTTACCAAACATGGCCTATATATTTATTATTATGTTGTAAGGTAGTAAGGTAAGTTTTATATATTATGTAGTTGGTAAGATGGATTGAATTGAGGTGAGGCACTTACCCGTTTATTAATTGCAGGTGCCAATCATCTGCTGCTTTATGATATCCGATCCGTCCATCTGTGGTTGCAAATTAAACAATCATGAAATTTCCAAACATATATTACTGGATCGATCTGCAAATTAAAAGGAATGATAAGATAAAAAAGATGAATTGAAGATGAATATAGTACGTACTCACTCTGCAGTTTAGTGCAAATTGTATTGAAACATGGGCGAGGTTGAGGGGAATGAAGCCTGGTCCGAAATCATTCACACCAACCAACGTACGAACGAGGCAATTAAGGTTAATTAGTTGTCGTGAAAGATTGCGAACCAGGCAACACTCCCCTCAACTTACAATGTCATCAATAGAAACAGAGAGAGAGAGAGAGAGAGAGAGAGAGAGAGAGGAGTTGTTTGTATGAATATAACTTTCATATATATGGGTCGTCGCGGGGGTCATATAGTATACGTAAAGATGGGGAAGTGTGTGGACATATCTTTGTTGAGTTGATATATGATATGGAAAGTGGACTCCACTCCTTAGTCCCAACTTCTGCTCTCTCTCATAAATTTTGGACGTTGATATTTTTCTTGCTATCTACATAATAAAAATATTATATCATTAGTTGTCACATCATTATTGAGTATAAGTGAGAGTAGAATTTGAAAATATATGTTTGCTTATTATTACACTAGACCTAATTTATTCCTGCTTACTCTTTAGTAATAATTACAAATTTCTCATCACAATAAGAAAAAAAAAAAAAAAAAAAACATAAGGCAAATTCTCCTATGCGACTCTCTCACGTAGGGGTCGGACTTTTTTTAATAAGTTTTATATTTTTCTTAATAAGTATTACAATTTTTATCATAAGTAACTTGTCAACTTCTAATATTATATTTAATTTGATTTAAAAGTATTACATTTTGTATCAAATGTATCACATTTTTCCTTATAAATATTACATTTTCTCTCATAAATAACAATTAAACGATTTATTCGGTCATTATTAATATTACATTTTTCTCATAACTAACTATTCAACCTCTAAATATATTACATTGTAATTTGATTTAAAAGTATTACATTTATCTTCAATAGTATTACACTTTTCTTTTAAGTAACAATCCACAATTTATTTTCCATTAGTATTACATTTTTCAGTATAAATATTACATGTATGTCATAATGTATTCGATCTTGTCTTATAGATAACGATACGTGAGACAGTCTGACAGAAAATTCACTCAAAAAAAAAAACAAAAAAAAAAAAAAAAAAACAAAAACAAAAACAAAAAACAAAACAAAAACAAAAACAAAAAATTATCAAAGATGATAGGGTGGTGCATGCATGTCAACTTTCCACACCATCTTTGTCATGCTTTTAACACCTACTAAGCCCAATTCCAATGCTAGGATTATTATTTAATTTCTTTGTCTAACTTTTATCTCACTTTTCTCTTTTCTCTTTATTAAATTAAACATACGGAGTAATATTTAGTACAAGGTTAGAATGTGTCTCTATATATATATGGACATGATGAAATGAGTATATGGCAATGATGGATCTGTGCGGGATTAATGGTTTAGAGTTTTAGTAAAAAATAAATGCGATGTTAATTTTATAATTATTGTAAACGTTAAAGTTTGCAATATTTATAAAATGAACCTTACTCCTTTTCTTTTTATTTTTTAGGAACCGTTAACCGTTGATCTACTATTAGATCAATCCTAACTTTTTTCATGGGAGCATGTTTTTACCTGAACCCTCCATCCCATATATAATTTAGATCAAACAAGAAGAGGCGCCCAAGTAAAAGAGGTGTGAAATCTCAGCGTTTGATCTAGTCCAAACAATGTCTTTAAATGAAGAAAAAAAAATACAGTGACATTTTGATAATTTTCTTTGACTTTGAGGTGCACAGATTTATTCATACAAAGTGCATAAGATTATTTACACTATAACAAGTGCATAAGTTTATACTACAAATGCAAAGAGTAATATAAATGTTTGGGTCAAGCGGTTACACTGCGCCAAAAGGTATAGCTTGTAGCAAGTGCACAAATTTATTTCCTTATACCTACCACGTTTTTGAGAGGCCTCCACTCAACAGTTTTTACTCTTACTGTGACTGAAACCGTGAATTAGCATAGATAACACTTGTTAAGATCAAAGGTAACGCTTACCACTGCGCTAAAAATTATAGCTCACAACTTTATTTCTTTATACCGCCACATTTTCGAGAGGCGGTGTGCTGGACTTAACCTTCACTAACCTCTGCTCAACAATAAGTTAAAAAAAATGCAATGGCATTGTTGTAGTATTTTCTAACTTTGTAGCGCATAGATTTATACTACAAAGGACACAAGGTTTACACTACAACTGCATAAGTTTCATACAACAAGTGCATATATAGGTTATACTACGACTATAGAAAATTTTTCTCATTTTTTTTATAGTCATTGATTGAACAGATCAATGGCTCATATCACACTGCATGTGTATGTGTCTATAAATAAATAAATAAATAAATAAATAAATAAATATATATATATATATATATATATATATATATATATATATATATACATTTATTTATTTACTTATTTATATGGAAGGATTCAAGAGATAACACAGAATCTAAACTCTATCTTGAGAAATCATAGGCTAGGATCTTACCATTACTAAATTTTCAAATATGCAATAATTATATCATTTACCTCGGGTTGCTTCTTCTTTTTTTTTTTTTTTTTTTTTTTTTGGTTATACTAAAACCGTCGATCATTGATGAACCCTAATGGATGGTTGAGATCAATCCTCATTTTTGTGTGTGTGTGTGTGTGTGTGTGTGTGTGTATATATATATATATATATATATATATATATATATATATATATATATATTTAGGGTCCGGATCAAGCGAGGACCTAATCTTAGGTGAGGACGTGAGGACTAATCTTGGGCGTTTGTTTTTTCATTTGGATGGCCCAAATTTGAGTTCTTGAGATGACATGGATTGATCTTTTTTGTTAAAATGGGATAGTAGTGTCTTTTTTTTTTTTTTTTTTTTTTTTTTTTTTTTTTTTTTTTTTTTTTTTTAAGTGTGAACGCATGTGTAATACTTGGCCAAATTGATTTCCTATTTTCTTGGATCATCACCTTTGCAATTTGGAGCCGCGATTTATTCATCATTGATTGAGTGTTCGCCCATGCAAACTAATCAGTATTTTTTATTTTTTTTCGCTGGTTCTTTTGAGTATAATATTGTCTATATTTGGATGGTCGTGTATATGTACAAATGTCTAGGTAGTACGATTGTGCATTCATGTGTTCTGATTGTGCAACCTAGTGTTGTAAGTTGTGCACCATATGATAGAGAGTTGTGCATTATAGCATATAGTTCAGTGCATTGTAGGACATTGGAATGTCCACTGTAGGATTTTTTGGCTGCGTTTGAATGCACAACAATAAAGTTATCGATGCATGCACAACACTCAGTATAGGAATGCACAACATCTTGTATAGGAATGCACATCTTTTAATAAGACTCATTTACCCTAAATTTATATATTTTAATATTTTAAAGAGATTTGTTTCCTTAATTCGTGTGATTTGTTCCTTTTAATCTTAGCCATTCATCATTATGATTTAATGGTCTAGATTAGTCCTCACGTCCTCATCTAAGATTAGGTCCTCACCTACTATATACAGGGACGGAGCCAGAGGGGGGGCAGGGGGGTCAGCTGCCCCCCTCACCCCACCCCCACCCCCACCCCATATGTAATATGTATATGTATATATGTATGTATAGTATATGTTTTAGTATTAGTATGAAAAAACTAGTAAATATAAACAAGTAAGGAGTTAGATTAGTTGGTAGAGCATATCTATGGTAATAGGGATGAGAACGTGTATTCTGTGTATTCAATAATGATCGAGAACCAGAGATGATAAATACAATAGAAACCTATCTAGGATACACAAGATAAAGAGTCCAAGATAGAACACAATACTACCAAAAGATGTATTCCTAATACTCCCCCTCAAGCTCAAGTCGGGTGACTAACAACGTTGAGCTTGTCACGCAGCATAGTAAAACGAGGACCAGCCAGAGGTTTAGTGAAGATGTCAGCAACCTGATCCTTTGTAGAGATGAAATTAACCTGAAGCTCCCCCTTGGCCACTTTATCACGCACGAAATGATAGTCGATCTCAACATGCTTAGTGCGAGCATGAAAGACCGGATTTGCACAGAGATAGGTGGCGCCCAAGTTATCACACCACAGCTTGGGAGACACAGATAAAGGCAGACCCAACTCACGTAGCAAGGCAACTAACCAGGTGACCTCAGCCGCGACATCGGCCAACGCCTTGTATTCTGCCTCAGTTGACGACCGAGCCACCGTCCTCTGCTTCCGACACGACCAAGAAATCAAATTGGACTCGAGATAGATAGCATAGCCACTAGTAGACTTCCGATCTTTAGGCGAACCAGCCCAGTCAGAATCACTAAAAGCATGCAGAACATCTGAAGAGGAACGACATAAGCGCAAGCCAAAAATGCAAGGTACCCTTGACGTAGCGCAAGACCCACTTTAACATAGCCCAATGAGCAACCGTCGGAGCGTGCATATGCTGACACAACCTGTTCACCGCAAAAGACAGGTCAGGACGGGTCACCGTCAAATACTGTAAGGCACCAGCAAGACTTCTGTAGTGAGTAGGATCAGCATAGGGCTCAACAGAATCAGTATCCACCTTAGCCACAGAGAGTGGCGTGACTAAGGCCTTACAGTCAACCATGCCAGCTCGTTTCAAAATATCACCCATGTACCTGCGCTGAGACAACAACAAACCACTAGACACAGGAATAGTTTCAATGCCAAGGAAAAAGGAAGGAGCTCCCATATCACGGACTTTAAACGCAGTAGACATCCGACTAATCAAAGCAGAAACACAAGCCGAGTCACTACCCATAATCAATATATCATCAACATACACCAAAAGATAAACAGACACACCATCAACAAAGTATATAAACAACGAAACATCAGTCTGCGAGGGACGAAAACCAACCGACACCAAAAACTCATGCAAACGCATGAACCAAGCCCGAGGAGCATGCTTCAAACCATACAACGATCGTTGTAACAAACACACATAATCTGGATGAACCTTATCCTCATACCCCGGGGGTTGGCGCATGTATACAGTCTCAGCCAACCGACCATTAAGAAAAGCGTTATGGATGTCCAGTTGACGAATCACCCATCCACGAGAACACGCCAAAGAAAGAAGCAGCCGCACAGTCGTAGGCTTCACAACAGGGCTAAAAGTCTCAAAAAAATCCTCGCCCGGGACCTGATTAAAACCCTTAGCCACAAGCCTTGCCTTGTAGCGCTCAATAGAC